TTCCAAGGACGAGGTTTGACGAAACTCAGCAATACATCGTCGTCTCCGTCACAGGCCGCGCCCTCGTCGTCGGAACTCGATCCCCCTTCATTAGCACCTGCTTTCTGTCAAAAAAACTATGAGTGTGTTGCCACCATAGATGCCGTAACACATCTTCTACTCACCACTCGTTTAGCCGACTTCTCGATGCTCGGCATTTCAACAAATATGACAACCGGTTTCCCCACCGGTGCAGAAAGGATCGTATTCTTGACTAGGTCTTGGTATTCCTCGTAGTTGACCACATCAGGAGCGTTGCCCTGCCTAGATATTGTAAAGTAGATTAGGAACTGATAGAGTAAGGATAGAGTAAACGTACTTGGCCGGATGGACTTGTATCTTGCAAGGGTAGACATTGCGGGCAGTGACTTTGTACTTCTTATCGACATGGTGCTTCTCTAGGATCGCTGTTAGAAGTTCGAGATAGTTTTCTTTCGACTCGGAGAAGTTGTGGTTGAAAGTTTTCGCCTTGATATCCTCAGTTTGTTTCTTGCCTTTGCCGTTGTTGCCAGCTTTGTAGAATGTGAGGCGAGCGACAACGGAAAGTTCGATTTCAGTAGGTTCGGTACCACTATCAGGTGTATCTACCATGGTGAGAAACTTGGTAGATGTGACTGAGTGGGTGTAAACGAGAACGATGAAGATGGAATACTCGATTCAGGGTCCCAGCCCTCAGCTGAAGCTAATAGGTACAAACAGCCAAAAAAAAATTTGGAATTCCGCATAGATCTGAAATCAGCTGTAACCTTTTCCGCCATGTCCTGGTGTGAAAAGAAGAGTTTGGTAAGTCAACATGGCGCAAATAACAGCACACAACAACGCCTTGATTTCGAACCATCATCTTCAAGTTGCTCACCAACGTGGAACGTTTTCCAGCTAACTGCATACTCGCAGACCACTCCGAAATTTCTTTCGAGCGTCCCTGTTTGGACCCCAAACAACTGTTTTAGGCCTATACGCCATCGGGCCACGGGAGTCGGGAACTTGGTGCGCCGCCCCACGTCATAAAGGTGGGGTTCGTCAAGGGTTTCTCTAGCTGTTTTGTGTAAACAATGGCGGACTAAGGAAATCTTGTCAACGGTCTACAATTCTGCAGGTACGTAGCTGTCAGCTAATGCACGGAAAGCAACCGAGCTCACACTCGCAATCGAGAGAGAGGTTTGTCTTCATCTACTGTCCTGTGTATGCTGCATAATTCACATATTTGGATCCGTCACCGGTCAGGTCGAAGATGAGCCGACTTACTACTGCATGTGCCGAACCGGATGTATCTACTCATGACGACGAAACCGACGCCTACCAAAGGCTCCACAGAAAATTTCACTGCTGTCTTCGAAGACGCCGAAACGGTACATGCAAATAGTTGAACAAACAAACGACTATTACGTTTCCTTCAGGTGCCTTCTACATGGTTTTTCGAGGTGTCCTCCGATACAGTCTCAAGCTTACCGCTCAAAGTCGACTCAGGAGTCTATAATTTGCCGTGGACAAGTTGATTCCGCCTTGGCCTAGGCCTTGCATGGCGGGGTTTCCTTGATGGTCATTGGTGGTTCTGTTATGAACCCCAAATACAACTGTCAACGCTCCATTCCCCATTCCTCAGACTACGACTCTCCGACTCTTCTTCTGCAACAAATCAATGGTATGTCAATCGATAATTTTCCCTCGTAAAACAATCCCTAAGGCCCCCTGAGTCTAATTTTTCTCCTTTGAGGCCAAGGTCGAACATCTCCGACGCAAACCTCCTGGTTCCTTCGACATTTTATCTCGGCGCTCACAGAAGCTCCGATTCTGATGTCGTCTTTCGGTCGATGGACTCTGTTCTGTTCTACATCAACTCAGACGAATTGGCAAGTGTCTCTAGCACTGCATTTTTTGCGCAAATGAGAGTTTGCAGTCACCTTGATGGAGTGATCGACATTCCAGACAATGTGGATGTTCTGAGCATCATCCTGTGCGTCTTGTATGACGTGCCGTGCGGGGGTCGTTCACCATCGTTCAACGACCTGGAAAAGGCGATAGATCGGATGACGATGCACAGTGTTATCCCGAAGGCGCATATTCTGCCTTCAACGCATATCCACGCCCTCCTTCTGTCGCATGCGTTGGAGAACCCATTGGTGCTGTATTCTCTCGCTGCACACCATGGCCTTGATGATCTTGCAACGAGCGCGTCGGCACATCTTCTTTCCTGGTCGTTACACGATATCACAGATGAGGATACCAAGCGCATGGGGCCGATATATCTGCGACGTCTGATGAATCTCCAAATGCAACGAACGGAGCTCCTTAAACGTCTCCTCATGCAGCCTCCAGACGCCCACCAACCCATTAGGGTGTGTGGATACGCAGAGCAGAAGAAAGTCTCGGACGGGTGGATGATGGTAGCTGCGCCTCTGGTGTGGTCGGCTAGGCCCGGTACGTAAGTTATTTTTTGAATGAGGTCAGGCTCAACGTCATAGAATTCTCAACGGATGCTATTCAAATGGCGTTTTCTGTGCTGGAGGATGGTTTAATTTGCGAGATGTGTCGCATTTGTTTGGATGTGAGGGTTAAGGATATACTCCTGCAATGGTCATCTGCGAAGGTTAGCGTTATTTATTTGCGTCAGAAGATATAGTCTCACTTTGTTACGATATGTTAGAAGACGATTTAGTTTTGTACCGGTCGCTAGTAGTAGTAGCTTACCATTAGGTGACTTGTTGGGGGAGATGCCTCTGAAGGCCTCTGACTATATACGGGAAGGGGCGGGAAGGCAACACCTAGCTCTAAAAGTGAGCGAAATGAGCAGCAGAATCTTCAGGTTGTTTGGTCGAGCTGTCGATGGCAAATACCATCCTCGAATTTCTATTGACCTCACAGGCTCACAACGACCACCAATGTTATCTCCATTCAACCTACCCGAAGGCATCCTCCTCCTGATAACAGATGAACTAGCCGCTCCAGCTGACTTTCTCCTCCACCGAAGCCTAATATCGCACGTCAAAGAAACAAATGGACCAACAAAAACGATCGTCTTGTCCGTTTCAGAGGACCTGGCATGGTGGAGAGTATATACAAGAAGTGTGGAAGTGGAAGTAGATTTTTCGTAAGTGGAAGTGGCAGACTTCCACTTGATTTCGTGAGTTCCACCAAAGCAGACGAGTTCCACACATGCCATCATGTTTGTCCCTGTCCGCATCCCACCCCCGCCGCTTTCCATTTTAAATTGGTGGCCCCCGCTCCTTCCAAAAATGTCGAATAATAGAATGCCATGCCACTTGGCCATCTATAAAATATACACTATATCAATTCCTGTATTTCTTTCTTCCCCCAAACTGTCACAACGATGAGTGAGAATGATGCCAAAATTCGCAGAACCCTCGATGCTGTTGGCCACGAGAAACTTTCCGACTACATCACAGAGGTAAGTAATCTCATGAATCAAACGTTTAATTTATGCTCACCGATACTATAGGCATTTCCTACAGAGTATCAGGCTCTCGGATACTACTCAGTCAAGAACGCGGAGAAATGGCTTGATCTCGACGCGTTCATGGCTTGGCTAAGCCATTCCTTCCAGTCTCCAATGAAGGAGAAATTTACCAAATCAACATCAACGCCAGTGGCATCGCATGCCAGAACTTCTGGTACACCAGTGGCATCAAGCGAGGATTCTATCATGTCAAAGAAGCTTTTTACTCATCCCACCCCTTCATCGCTTTTCCGGTCAACTCCTCGCGCTCCTCAGTCACAGCACTCCTCTTCACCTATCGAGATTTATGACAGTTCCGATTATGACAGCACACCATCTAAAGAGCAAAAGAAGAGAAAGCGCAGGAAGAGCTCTCCGGTATGAGTTAAGCAAGAAAACTCAGATGGCGAGGTTGAGATTGTCAAGATAAAAGTAACCAAGGCGGCGCGTCGTGAACAGGAAAATTCTGACGGCGAAGTCGAACTGGTCGAAACGACGCAAAGCAAATCGAAAAGGAGTGTGTCGAATCGCCCGCCAGTCAAAAAACATCGAAAGAATTCTGCGAATGACGATGATCGTATTCAAATTACCCGTCAATTTAGCTGCAAGAAGATTGTTACACTTACGAAAATTCCATCATGCTGGTCTGTACCATATGACAGCGAAGAAGTTGTTTATTTGTTGGATTTATCTCAGGATACGCGAGAGTGGAAGGATAAAAATGGGGATTTGATGTCAATGGCGGCAATCATCAAATCGGTGGTATGTGACTTTATTCTGTGGGCATTTTATTGAGCTAAAATAAAATCTAGGACCAAGACGCCTGGGGAGGAGGCAGCGGCGGTCATTTATCTACCAAGAAGACTCCCATCATTCCGCTCCTTGATAATGAACCTTGCCAGGTTGCCGAACATTTTTGCCAGGGAATATTTCACTGTGATCAGCTAGACCTTGCACTACTTGAAGGAATCGAGCGCTACGAGCCAGACGAAGATGATAGAAAGGACCTCTTCAAAGCAGAGCGAGAACAGAACATTCGAGAAACGGACTCGATGTATACAAGAGCTGCTTCGTCAGTGGACCATTTTTATTTTTTTCATTTGCTGAAAATATCACAGGTTTTACTCTGCAGTTAACAAGGATAGCTGCACATGCGGAGGTGTCGTGGTCATTCGACCATTAAAGAAGGTACTGATTTGTTGCACATATTTCATTTCTGGTTTACTCAACTAAAACATTTCAGAAAAATTTAGACAGCCATAAATACTTTATTGGCTGCTCAGGCTGGAAAAGAACTGATCCCGTGAACTCACACCGTTTTATGAGCCTTCCAACAGATATCAATGATCGCTTGGTGGTGGAGTTATTTCAGAATAAAGGTCGCTTCAATGCTTTCCCCTTGAGCAACATTAAGAAATGTGCTCAGGTTATCCCTGTAAGAAATGGGGCGAAGGGGCGCCAACAATGTCGTACGCAAAAATTTCACATATTATTGATCTACCATACTGACCCTCCCCCTCTAAAGCATACACACATTATGACACCGAGACGGGAGAAGTAATTCTCGGCCATTTAGTTCAGCGGACTTGCGAGACACGTATCAAGATTTGGTTTCCTGTCGACCGGGCAGTTCGCCAAGCACTAATTTATTTAAAAAATCCACATAATCACCCTATGTTCCCCAGTACGAAGCTTTCACATGAAGGGAAAGAGTTGTACGAACAGGCTGCCCTTACTGTGGGGATCACTGGTCTGACCACCGTCAAGTGTGATTCAGGTACGAGCGTTTAACAATGTATCATAGAAGGTCAATTTCATGATGGTTATGATTTGTGTTCAAATAGCTTCCAGCACGAAGAAGATTTTTGGTCAAAAAATACCTGCGATGACTGACCCTGCTCTGGCCATTCCACGAAATCAGCGGAAAATTATCCACAACTTAAGAAACAAACAAAACCCCCATGGGACTGACATCGAAGGTAAGGCCTGATATTTTTCTTGTCTTATTGAAGCTTATTGTCCGTGCTTCAGGCGCTTTATATTGTCAGAGATTAAATCATGAAAACCTACCCCCTGAAGCAAGATATATTCACGAGGTGTCTTCTCGAGATGGGGTTGACCTTATCATCACCATGCTTCCCTCTCTCGCAGCGCGCATCCATTCGGCACGCGCCACTCTACATGACAACACATACAAACATGTCTTTGGAAAATGGAAGGAATGGGAAGTCGTTGTATGGGATTCTCGGTTAAATATGCGTATGTTCACCACCTCCATTCTGTCAGATTCCGAGAACTTAGCACTTACTCAACCTTTAATTTTAGGTGTTACCGTGGCACGAATATACTGTACTCACGAAACTCGGGAGGCATTTCGATCTATGTGGACTGGCTTATGGGACACTGTCGAAATGGTTACTAAAAAGAAAGTTGAATTTAAATTCATTGACGGTAGAGGGCTTTCGGCAATTCTTGTTGATGGATGCAAACCGCAAGTGAATGCTTGTGGTGATGATCTCGTGAAGCGTATCCAGGACCGGAATAGTCCACTTAGCGAACGAGATCCACAGCTGGTTGTACAACATATTGTTCGGACATGTGTTGTGCACCTTCAAAGGTACGTGAACAGCTCATTATTTCAACTTTTTGACGACTGGTGACAAAATATTATCAATAGGTTCTTTAATGAGCTTGCTAAGTCGATTCCTTCAGAGGTTGTGGATCGTGTCCGTAGTTTTCCCTTTCTTGAAACCACGAGAGACATTGAAGAATTTGTAAAATGGTGTGAGGAATCGGAATATCCAAAGATCAAAAGTAAATGTACTCCCCTTCATGCACGCCATTAGTCTTATTTCTTCTTCCCCTAGATTGGATCATCGACAAAAAATCCAGTCCTTGGTTTATCCCTTCCATAAACCAATATATGTCAAAAATCCATGAAGAGGATTGGTTTCTTACTCCCGGAGACACAAATCTCAATGAGAGCGCACATCCTCATACAAACCTGCACACAGGAATCGGTTTACCGATTCTAGAAGCAATTCAAAAGTAAGTTACTATATTCTGATCTCTTATTTTTCTACAATAATGTTGTCAGAGCATACGAACTTGATTGCGACGTCGAAGCCAAGCTTGGACAAGCAGAGGATGACTGTATTTTGCCGAACAACAGGAACACAAAACCAGAGTGCGATCACAACAACCGTAAGCGTAAGGAAGCACGATCAAGGAAAGCCACAGAGCGCCAGACAGCCCAAGAGGATCTTGAAGATCTCGACGCCCAGATTGAGTCTGCTGCGGCCGCTGGAAAGGCTTCGCAGGCCCTCGTGAAAGAATTACGCGAGAAGAGGAAGGCTCTCCAGGCGGTAACTGGAGTCAAACAAAAGAAAAGCTCGAATGGGCCGTGTGGAAAAGATAGGGTCGTCAACGTTGATGATGTCGCTGAGAGTGCTGAACTCGGAGTCATCAGTGACACCATTCCACTTGATCATCCCGTTGACGAAGAAAAAGAAAACAATAGGCTGTTTCACAGTAGGCCAACTTAGGTCCCAACTTTCATCTCAACTTGTGGGCCAATTTCAACAAAGTTGAGGAGGAAGTTGGCCAACTCTACCATGAAACACCTTGAACTGCAGAAAACATAAAGTTGGGTTGATTTGGGCTTGGAAGGAATTCTGGATGCAGATTTCTGCCTATTTTGGATACGTGGGAAGTTGGAAGGTGAAGTTGGGCACCAAGTTGGGATCAAAGTTGGCTGCAAATCGGCGTCAGGACCACGATTTGCATCCCAACTTCATGAAGTTGGTCAAACTTTGTCCTTCCAACTTGGCAAAAGTTGCACACCAAGTTGGGGATCAAGTTGGGACCTAAGTTGGCCTACTGTGAAACACCCTAATGCAACTATTACATCGACTCCTCAGCATAAGGAAATCAACGACCAACATGGCACCTGTCTCACTCCGCATGTATGGAACAACATCACATCAACTCCTCACCGCGGGGGAATGAATGATAAACATGATGCCAGTCCTGCCTTGCCCATATGGAATCTTTCATCATTTCTGGACATTTCTCCCTTGCTGTCACCTTTAAAATCTCCACACCGCTCCTGCCCTGAACTATTCCTCCCTCCTACCGATTTTTCCAGTCCAATTCGTCCAAGATTACAAAATTGTGATCACAAGCTTGATGCTTCGTTGGATCCCTCCCTTATGCCCTCATTTTCATTTTACGACCATTTCAGATAGATTTCTTGATTAAACATTTCTTTTTGTGATACAGGCATTATGTTTGAGATTTATTTTTGTAGTGTCAATATATTCATGGCATACATTTTCGGTGCTACAGCAAATGGCGGAGAATGAGACTTTCACCTATGGCATCATATTTCTCACCTTTGGGGACAATTTTCCAGTCCATTCGGGCTCCGAATGGACCGGATTTTGAGCCTCAAAGGTGGGAAAGTTTCACGTGCCAAAGGAAAGGAGCCTCCAAGCGGGAGCACGCCTCTTGTTCCAGAATGGAAGTGGGGCGGGCGTCGCCTAAGTGGAACTGACATCCATTTAGTGGAACTCACGCACATCAAGTGGAACTCAGGACGAAGTGGAACTGGGTTTTTGAGTTCCACTTCCACAGTTCTGGTCACGACTCCACGGTGGAAAGCGGTTGCGTCCAAGCTTGTTCGTATCCACCTGAAGTCTCTTGCATGACCTTGTTGAGTGATTGATTGTGCGACAGAACCTGAACATCTCGCACCAGATAACGAATGGATCGCTGGAATTCATAGATGTTATGAAGCATGTCCAACCCGATTTTCGGGCCCCGGCCTCTCGAGAGACGGCAGATCTACATACACCACCAACGCTACGTCCCCTATTCGATCTCTTGAAAACCGCATTACAAAAAACGGACCACGGGGACGCGAAGCTGGTTATCCTGGACGATATCGCAACTTTGGAGTGGATAGGTTTCTCGTTGCTTGATGTTAGCAGGTTTGCGCGTGTGTTACGGGTTGCATGTTTGAAGGTACGTCCTGTTATTCTCGCTTGATCTACTCAGGCTGAGAATTGACGATGCATAGGCCAAAGCTACTCTGATCATTCGCCATCACGTCGTTACGCCTGGGGATCCTGATGATTTGTTTCGACACCTGCTGCAAATGTGCACACATCATTTGGATGTAACGCCTCTTGGTAGTGGACGGAGTGGGGCTGTCAGTGGAGAGGTTCGTGGGCATTTTCTGTTTCTGGTGGTAGTCGTACTGATGGTTCAACTGGCAGGTTGCGTTGCATTTGGGACCTTCTACTCCAGCTGGTGGTGGTGTCAAGTTGATTCCTCGTAGTGTGGCGCTTCAGTATAAGCTGGCTGATAATGGGCCTGTGTTTTTTCAGCGGGGAACTGGGGGTGGGGTTTTGTAGGGCTGAGATGTTGAGTCTGATTTGACAAATTTTAACCTGTTAGATAAATCCTTCCAAGTACTATGCCCTATCAGTACTTCGGCAGACCCTCTCAGTCGGCACTTTCCTGATCTCGAACTTTCCACAAAGTGTCTTGCCACAAAATTTGAGAGAGGGCCTCCTGGGTATAATCCAACCTGTTTCCGCTTTTTTTTGCCAAAAAAAAATGAAGAATTGGTGAAGTTCTGTTTTTTGAAACTGATATAGCATAGTATGTATAAGTATTTCTTTGATGGAGAGCAGGCCTTAAGGCAGGAATCATCAACATGTGAGTTGGCAAAGAAAAAAAAAAGCTATCCCAATTATCTCTCTGTCTGGGAGTCGAACCCAGCTTTCGCGCGCTCAACCGGAGTAATATGCCAGATGACAGGCGTGTGTACTAACTGATACTGTCATGTGACCCCTAACTGGTCATCAGCACTAACACTCAGTAAAAACGAAAGTCAGGTCAAGTCATCCACTCCTCACAACATGGTCGTGTGAAGTCATGTTGGTAAGGTTGAAGTCATGTGGCCCTCAGGTACATGTTTGCTAGGATTTTATGGCCTGACTGAAGTCAAGTAATAGTCAAGTACATGCTGTGTTGTAGTCTAGTCCTAGTCTATTCCTCATCTGAATCACTATCATCTGTATCATTACCTTCATCCCCTTTTCCAGACTCAACTGCACTTAACATTGCCAAACCTGGGTGTTTCCTCAACACATAAATATTTTTAGATGCCTCAGCACTCCATATTCCAACAAGATCTAGAATTTGGCTTGCCTCGATGACCTTCAGAGTAGTAGGGCTTTCCCATTTCCCTCGTATTTGAGTTCTCAGAACTTGTTGCACATTGATAAGTGGAGTATATACCACCAGAATATAAGTCTTGTTTGTCAGTTCCACCTTGTAGAATGAATTCGCTTCACCAAAAGTGTGATTCAATATATTTGGAGTGTTTTACCCAGGTGGGGTGCTTGTAGTGGAACTAGCTTGGGCATGGGTATTTTTAGCCTACAAAAGAAATGTGAATACTGGCCAGATGTTTTGTGAATTCACTCACCTTGAACCACTTCTGCATGCGGGTCAATGAGTTATCTACCTGAGAAGTACTCAGACGGCTACCCAAAATTTGTCCATTGGCCAATCTTAATTTGCCATATCTCTCCTTTGCCACAAATTTTTCCTTGACATTGGCCTCCTTTAACCATGCATTGATGGCATCAAGTTCACAAATAACTTGCTCATTCTGGCCTTCTCTCTTTGTAATTTTGCGCTTCTGAATCAAATTTCTGTCATTCTTTTTCATTTCTTTTGAGGCATTTGCATTGATATCAAGTGCAGGGAGATAAAGCAAGAGAATCTTGACTAGCTCTCACTCAAATATAATGTTCGCCAGATTAGCAAATGGAGCCTTTTTTGAACGGATTTTGTGGCCCATCTCACCAATGCTTCGCGCCACTGTAGCCTGGGATCCTAGTCGGATTGATCCATTCCATTTTATATGGGTGGGAACATGAATCAGTTGAAAGATGCACAAACACATGCATGAGATCTTTTCTGGATTTCCATCAACATAGAGCTTCTCAAAGCCTGTAAGAAATTTGATTATAAGGCTTCGAAGCCCTTCCAGCTCCTTTTCTGTTCATTCTGAAATAGTCATTGCAAATTCCACAGCTTCTGCAAAAAGTGAAAAATTTTGCAAAACTAGTGAATTGAATCCTAGTTCAATTCCAATTGGAATGATGTACCAGTGGAGAAGTGCCATCCACTCGTACACTTTATATTGACTCTGGCACTTCAAATGAGGATCATGGATTGGGCCACAGAAAGAAGGTGGGAGAGATACCATAGCCTTTGCTACAAGAGATCCAAACTCCCATGCTTTATTAGCTGGCAAATGGATGGTTTCTGTCTCTGAGCTGAATATTGTCCAAATATCCCGTATAAAGGCTGTACCATTCTTATAGAAGAGATGAAAAGGATCCAAAGGGAAATAAGTTGGGTGCAGGAAAGCCCTACTGGCTGCACATAATGGTAGCCATGATACTCCTGTGGACTTTGTAATCACTACTCTGGCAGTTTTTGATGTGGCAGCAAACAATTTCTTAATTATCTCCCAGTATGATTGTGCTGTTCTCATTGGGAGATTTGCAAGGTTATATGCTTCTGGCCTATCTGGATTGTACTTCATATTTTCAGGAGGTGAAATTGGATAATACTGAGCTTTTGCTCCTTTTGCAAGACTGGAACGTGCTCCTCAGACCATGGTAAATTGATCCCCAAAAATTGCTGAATGGCCTGCCATCCCATTTAATTTGGCTGAGCCAAGCATATCGCCAAGTGCCATCACTATGTATGCATGATTGACAAAATATGAAGAATCAACTGCATCCCACATCCAGATCCCTTCACTTGACATTGCCATTTCTTCAAATAAAGGTCAGATAAAGGATTCAATATCTCCTGGGGAATTTGGGCCTGGAGTTGTGAGATTGATGATTATGTGCTCAGTTTTATACTGTAATGTGGCAGGAAGATTCAGAATTATGAGGATAAGAAGCCAAGTGTTGGAATGCTTCTTCATTGTTAGTTGAGCTCCATCAGTCGATAGTGCAAGTGCAATATCCCTCAGAAATTTAAAAAGACCCATCTGTTGATGCTGGATAATATGGAGCTGTGAATTTCCATAATCAGAGAATTTCTGCATTGCAGATCCAACAAGATGAAGGGCCTGCTTCAAATAAGAATCACGTTGACGTAAATGCCTAGAGGTATCTGCATTTGCATATAATGCCCTAATAGTTGCCATCACTGGAAGAATTTGTACTTGTGCTTGTGGCATTTTAGTGCCTGGTTTCCTGCCTTCCTTGTAGTGTGCCATTCCACATGGTTCCTTTGCTTGACTGGAAGTATATGGACATTTATCCAAGTCTTTGTATTTGCCAGTATAAGCAATGCAACTTTTTGGACACATGTCCACTTTCTTTGGATAAAACCCAGTAAGCCTTTGTGAAAGCTTCTTAACTTGGTGGAGTGACAGAATTTCAGTGTCTAGATTGGACTGCAGGACAGTTGCATGATATTTGTACCCTTTTACTGTCCCATTTGATTTCTTCCATGCAACATAATGCTCAAGTGATGCTTTCTCAGACAGAGAAAGGGCATTAATTTTTGGAGCTAAGTTGGCATCTGTAGGTGGAACTGGAGGAACAGTATAATCACCAAGTAATTCAGCATGCAGATCTTCCAACTGTTTTGGAAGTGTAGGATGAACGTCTATAGGTGTTGGCCCTTGCTCAGTTTCAGAGTCAGAGCCACTGCTAGAATCAGAAGTGCCACTGCTAGTATCAGGATCTTCAGCATCTCCCATATCTGAGCCATCATTCCAAGTCTCAGTTCATAGGAAATCAAAGTCCTCCTCTGAGAATTCAGAGTCACTAGTAGAACAAGAATCAGAGCCCAAGGATAAAGAATCAGGCTGGTTCTGCATAAGATCAAGCTCTAATTGATCCAAGTTATGAGCCTGATCTTCAATCTGATCAGATGATTCAAGTTCTTCAATCTCTGATCCAGAATTGTCTGTGTCAAGTATTTTTGCAATTATTTGTACAATCCAAGAAGGAAAAGTGTACTAGGATGGTCTCACAAGTATTCTCATTTTTTCCTTCATAAAGCTTCAAAGCTGCTGTGGTTTTATTGATGCAGTCCTCAAGATGTTTGCTATCTTGGGAGATCAAAGACACAAGAGCATGTCGATCACACTGCAAGTGGTTTTTGATTGTCCGGATTGTTTTCTTTTGTGAGGGATAGCATGCTGAGCAATAGCAGTGATAAGACATTGGTGGAAGAAACTTGCAGTGGAAGTGGGGTGGAAGAACAGATAGCAGTTGCACGAGCTGGTTTCCTGATAAAGAAACTGTGTTATGTAAGCACATGACGAATCGAACTCTGAACTTCACTTTTCTCTATTTCCTGTGTTGGGGCGTGCGTATGGATGCCTACAAGTTTTCCTTCCACAATTCACAAATCCCAAATGGTCATTCATGTCCAAGCCCCAACCCCTCTTTGTTTCTTTCTCCTTACTTCAAACCAAACCCGGGACCTCTTCCTGTTCCACAACCTCTCCACGTCGAAAACTTGTCACTTTCCGACCTGCTGAAGAACCGTGAAGTCCTCGACATGTTCAATGGCTGGAAGGAGGCTACTAAGCAGGTACTGAAGGCTCAAGAATACGAGCGCGAACTTCATAGTCAGAATTCTCGATTGGAGAAAGAGGTGCTGCAGTTGCGGGGAGAACTTCAAGTTCAGCGAACGGGCTTCCGGTGAGTTTTAAGTTCTTGAAATCTGATTCAGACTTGAAATTCCTCATAGATTCGGTCCCCACATCGTTTCCAAAACTCAAAGTGACTCCATCTCACCAAGCAATTCTGTGTCCCAAATTGGGAGCGGATCCATCCTGAACCCTGTCCAATGTGCTGTCAGTCAACCATCGATTCAGCCACCACACTATAGTCACAAGATTCTCTGGACACTCGAAGACTGTCAAAAGGACCTGCACAACGTTGTTACCAAGTCGAACAAATCACGCCCGGCCATGGAAAAAGCAATACAACATGAAGACAGCACGTTAATCAATGGGGGGGAGTGGCACGCAATCAAGGCGAATGCAAGAGCGATTGCAAGTTGTGATCTACTGCCTCTCCCCATTCCGTGCGACACACCAAGTTTGGTGAAGAAGAAGACCAAGACCTTCTTCACTAAGTATCACCTCAAGCAGTGGACCAACACAGTCCACAAACTCGAAGAACAAGAGCCTTTACTGGCTCTTTGTGCCGCTCATTGGAAAGCTGAACATGTACTGAATACCATTTTGACAGGAATCACAGAATCAAACCAGAATACTAGCACGAGAAGAGATGACGCTTCCGATTTGGATGACCCAGCCGTTTCCCTGCCCGATCCATCATTGAAGAACAATACCTCTAGCTCCAAGCGCCGCCTTTCGAATCCATCTCCAACCAAGCAAAAGAAGAAAAAGAAGACAGGGAAAGAGAAGGGCACTAAGGATAGTGAAAAAGGTACATCCGTTGTTCACTTTTACACAGGCTGTACTACTTATGTGATCATTATAGCTTCACCACCTTCAATAACTATCGACGATGATGCCATTAACCGACAGCTGAATCTATCAACAGAAAACGCAGGGACTGCCGCCGCTGCAACCGAACCCCAAGATAAACCGAATTCCTCCCCTGATTTGGCAATTCCTCCCATTCCCTTGACACTGGAACGCATTGACATCAATTTTATCGATGTCAATCCGTCATACTCTTCATTAAAAGGTAACATCTTTTTTAAATCTTGTTTGATACATGTTGAATATTTTTCTAGACAAATTTTCAGGCAGTCATCACACTAATACCGTCGCCATCGAACTTCTCACAGCATTTGAGGCCGACCCCGATTTTCAGTCAGGTGAACCTTCTCAAGATACGCTATCGTTTCTTGATCGCATCGAAACTGCTGACCCGAACTCACCTGATTTTTCCGAAGATGATTTATATGGAAACTGGGGCCACTATCAATTCACCGCTGGCAGTCGGACAATTTCCATGGTTCTTACCTCCTGGAAATCGGTTGGAAATACTTCAGTAGCATGGTGATTGCTTGCGGCAGCTCTGAAAACATCCAAAGTCGCGTGGCATGTATGTTTTGAACGGGCCATCAAACCCAAATCATTTCTTAGTGACATCTACATTGAATTACTCGTCGACAAGCTCTTGGATCTGTGGAAGGATGCAGGAGGGGTATGTTCTTCTCACTGACTCAATTTTCTACATGAACTAACTTTTGTCCAGAGCATTTCAAAAGGGAAGGGCATGAACAAAGACAGCGCTCTCGGTGCCAATCTACCCACATCTGACATCATCCAGATGCAGGCCCCTTCGACCCAACATGCCGAACCTGAAGCCATGCTCATCGACACCACAGCGTCCAGTTCTGGTGAATTGAGTGAATCAGCGGTCAAAACTGCTTCCGTGGATGTTCGAAAAATACTTCAAGTAAGTTTTATTTCATTTTTCACTATGTATAAACTCTCAAATAAACTCGTCTATTAGGCCCTCCAGAAAGATGAGTTGAAGGCATGGATCAATGACCACAATATCAATACACCCTCTGGCACACGCACAAAAGATGGTCAGTTCATGCTGTAGTTTTGTTTGTGCTACTCCTTATTGCCTATTCGCACTAGATTTGATTGTGCTCATTGTGGAGATGGTGGCATGAAAAACC